CTAACTATATCCTCTGCTGCAGCTACAGAACAGAGAGGGTATAGTCATACAGACAGACAGACAGACAGAGGGTAGAGACACGAAGCTAACCCTCCTCACCCTGTCAATGTTGCTAATAACACATCCAAGAAGCTCCTGAAGAATAAACTGGAAATAAATAATTTACTGAACACAAGTACTGAGATTGTCAGTCACTAGTGTGTTACTATCTGTCTATAGACAGCTTTCAAACATCAAACGTCCTCCTCATACCAGACCTGGTTCATCAGGCATGGGTTAGAGAACTGGCCTAATGACTGCTCACCTCCGTTCACTATGAAATATCATACCTCCTGATGTGTGTAGACAACTTGGAACAATAGGATTTAATAGCATGTTTTGTTTGATGTGAGAGCATTTTTCATTTAAAGGTAGACTCAGTGAAGTGACGTTGCCACGAGCAGCACCACAGATATTGAGCTGAGCGAGATGCAAGACTTCGCTCACACACAATCACATACAGTATCTGCGCATGTGCATGGGTTCGCATCACGCTGTTACAGTGTAGTAGCCAGGGGACCAAAACAGCAGAGAAGTTGAGCCTCACACACTAACGCTCTTAGTTGTTGCGGAAATGTACCCACTATGCTGTTTACTTTCTGAATCTACGTCATATCACTGAGTCTGCCTTTAAACAAAATAAATTGAGATGTTTGTTCTTTGTAGAGTTTCTAAATCACTAGATTTTGTTCCCCTTGTTCCTTTACTCCATCTGCTCTGCTAGGTTGCATCCCAAATGGCACCCTATTCCCTACAGTATATAGTGCACTACCTTTGACCAGGGTCCACAAGGGTCTGGTCAAAAGTAGTGCACCATATAGGGAATATGATGCCATTTGGGACACAGAACTAGTCAGTTCAATTAGGGAAAGTTTGAGACTAAGAGCACAACAGTAAAATGACTAAGTCTATAAAAAATTAAATGTTTCATTAAACGGACGTGTCATATTCAATTGACAGAGGTATTAAATATGTTACCTATAAAAATGACAAAACTTCTCTCAGCTCAGCAACAGGCCCTGCCCATAGTACACAGTTCAACCCTGGACACTGAGACCCTCTATAGCTCCTCACTTTATAAGGCTGGCCTTGACAGTGAGAAGAGCCCAGTAGTTGTCTGGGTCATACAACATTATGAATAAGAGGATTGTACTGTGTGGAGAGAGACAGCAGCTACTGTCATGTATACCCCTAACCCTGTCATGTTTTGACCAAACCATAACCCTAAACACTGAGTAAAAATGGTCCTATTCCATCAGGAGACTAGTTACTTCTACAGACTTTGTAGAATAGAGGAAACGGTCAGAAGAAGATATCAAGTATAGTTGACAAGAAAAACTGTTGAATTAAGGTTGCTTGTTACAATGTCCCGCTAGCGGGTTAGTGTTACCAAATACA